GGTTTCCTAGGATTGACTGGCTACTACAGGAGGGTCATGAATGGGGTACAGTACCATCGCTTGGCCTTTGACCGAGCAACTGAAGAAGGACAATTTTTTTGTGGGGAGAGGTAGCAACCCAAGCTTTTGAGAGGTTGAAGAAGGCCATGACGACAGTCCCAGTGTTGGCTCTTCCGGATTTCAGTCAGATCTTTATAATTGAGACCGATGCATTAGAGTATGGCTTGGGAGCAGTGTTGATGCAGAATCACAGGCCTATAGCCTACTTCAGTCATGTGCTATCTACCAGGGATCGATTGAAGTCAGTATACGAGAGAGAGAGTTGATGATCATAGTCTTGGCCATTCAGAAATGACGTCCTTATCTTTTTGGTAGGCATTTCATTGTTTGTACGGATCAGAGGAGTTTGAAATACCTGTTGGAGCAAATGATGGTAACCGAGGAACAACAGAGGTGGCTTTCAAATCTTTTAGGCTATGATTTTGAGATTCAGTTTTAGCCAGGGGTGGAAAATAAGGCGGCTGACGCCTTATCCGGATGTGTTGGGGAACTTCAGGAGTTGGTAGTTTCAGTACCACTGATGGTCAACGAGGGGGCCATCAAGGAAGAGAGTATGCAGAACGAAGAGCTGAAGAAGGTTAAGTAAGATTTGAAGAAGTAATCATTCGGGGTACTATCTGGAGGGAGAAAGGTTGTTACATCAGGGGAGATCTGTGATGCAACGAACATCAGTACACATTCCTCACTTATTACAGGAATTTTATGGCAGTGCAGTTGGTGGTCATTCAGGAACATTTAAGACATATAGGAGGCTGGCATTAGAGCTCTACTGGAAGGAGATTTATAAGGATGTTGAGGAGATGGTGACAAGGTGTGAGGTGTGCCAGAGAAATAAATATATGACAATGACACAAGAGGGGTACTCTAACCATTAGCACTTCCAAATAGAGTATGGGAGGAACTGTCCATGGACTTCATCGACGGCCTACCCCGCTCAGAGGCATTTACAGTCATTTTGGTCGTGGTGGACCGACTTAGTAAGCATGCACAATTTATTCTCCCACGACATCCTTACATCGCAGTATTAATGGCGACAACATTTTTCAGGGAAGTGGTTAGATTACATGGGATTCCTGAATCGATTGTGTCTGATAGAGACAAAATGTTCCTTAGCCAATTTTGGAGGGAACTTTTCAGGATGCAGGACGCTGTTCTCAAGAGAAGTATCGCCTACCATCCACAGATAGAAGAATAGACAAAGGTGGTGAACCGGAGCTTGGAAACATATTTGAGATGTTTTGTTTCTGAAACACCACGGAAGTGAGCTAAATGGTTACCATGGGCGGATTATTGGTATAATACTTTGTACCATTATGCGTCCCAAATGACTCCTTTCAAGGTGCTCTATGGAAGAGACTCCCCACACTTAGTGCATTATGGATAGGGAAACACACCGGTCTCTTTAGTCGAACATTACTTAGAGGAGAGAGACCAAGTGTTGGAGGAGTTAAAAAAACATCTGGGGAGGGCACAACAAATCATGAAGAAGCGAGCATATGCACACATGAGAGACATACAATATGAAGTGGGGGAGGAGTTCTTGAAGCTAACAGGAGGTGTTCTTCAAGGCCCTATAGGCAGAAATCAGAGGATAATAAGAAGGAACGAGAAATTTGCGCCGAGCTACTTTGGTCCCTATGAGATTTTTGAGAAAATTGGAGCAGTGGCGTATCATCTGAAGTTACCCTCCTCCTCTACCATACACTTCGTTTTTCATGTGTCACAGTTAAGGAGAGCTCTAGGGGAGCATGCAGTTAGTGCGGAGTTACCAGCCACGCTGACAGAGGGATTGGAGATGGTCATGGAACCCCTGGAGCTGGAAGGAGTAAGGTTGGATAAAAAGGGAAATAAGGAGGTGTTGATCAGATGAAAGGATCTTCCCGACTACGAGACTACTTTGGAGCCTTATGAGAGTGTGAAGCACCAGTTCTCTTACTTTCACCTTGAGGACAAGGTGAGTTTTTCAGAGGGGAGTAATTTTACACTGGCCCAGGAGGGTTTGACTGCTTTGCTTGAATCGATCCCTAGTGGACCGGTTTGGGTTAACCACCGCCGGCCCAAGCAAGGGGAGAGGGGGGCTGGCCACTCCTTTGGGCCCCACACCTTGAGTAATGCTTGTTCGGAGGGAAAAATTTGAATTAGGGGCTGTTTAGGGAATTTATAACTCTCCTTTGTCTTTAATTAAGTGTTAATGTTAGACTTAGGTTTTCATCTTGAATTTGAAAAGAGATTTGAGATCTAGGGTTTGTGTTCTTGGGCTTTATGCTTGGCTAGAGAATCGGAGAGCTGTTTCTTTCTCTCGAATAGAAGAAACGAGTATCTTTGCTGTTTCTCATGCATCTATTTCATGAATTTCTCCACTGTTTCATCAGATTTCTCTGTTTTTCCTAAGGAAAACTATAGTAGTTGCTGTTTGACTACTGTAAACAGAAGTTGTTTTCACTGTTTTCTATCCGATCTTGCTAGGTTTGCTTGCGAACTCAAGTATTACCCTTGGGGTTACTTGCGAACTCAAGTTCTTCCTATCTGAGACATACATCCTAAGATCATAGCCACGGACAAGGAATCACGATTATGACACAATGCATACATGAGACACATCAATTATTAAAAATATAGTACACGAATATGGGTTTGACACTATATTATAATTTTTATATGTTAAAAATAGTGTTTAGAAATTAAATTAGTAGAATATTAAGAATAATAGATAAACAATAAGTCATTTATCTAGGATTTGTGTTTAAAATGATTAATATTAGAATGTCAAGAGTCGGACATTGATGTCGTGTATTGGGCATCGAAGGGAGACGACAACAATGTTGAGAGTTGGGCGTTAATGTCAAAACGACGTCAATCGTCGATGTTGAGATGTCGTTGGACAAAGATAAGATGCCGTGATGACGCGGGTCGTGACTATGGGTGGAGAAATTGTTGACATTGGATGTCAATGTCAAGATGGCATTGAATGCCTATGTTAAGATGGTTTCATACATCATGGAATGTCGATGTCAAGATGGTTTCAGACATTGATGTTGTGACGTCGGGTGTTGGTGTGAAAACCTTGTCTTGACTCACTAGGGAAATGAAAATGAGAATGTTTGGGAGATAGGGTATTAATTGTGAGCGATTGATTCGGGGCTATGGAGAGGAAATAAGAAATTTATTTTTTAATAAATAAAAAAAAATATATGAAATTATAATTAAAAATAGTATTTTCATAAAATATTTGGGACATGTGTCATTGAAATGCATGCCCATTTTTTATAAATAAATATTATTTTAATCAAACACATCTTTGTCACGTCTGACACATGTTGGATGCGTGTCAGACGCTTGTCGGATATTGCATATCTCTTTAAGGAGAAATGTTGGTGCATCATTGCTTACCTTTGTGATTGTTATTTTGTTTGTATTTGTATTCCTCCATGAGTAGTTTTGTTAATTATTGCTATTTTATTTGTATTTGTATTCCTCGAGTAGTTTTGTTGATTATCATATGCAGGATCTGCAACTTATAATCATAAGTGTTAGGGGCAATGAATTCAAGAAGAATTTAAGTATTATAAATTAATTAATCTGAGGCATATTGAAGGAATTTTTTTTTTGTCTTAATTAATTTTAAATTTCTTTCAATTTTGTGTGCCTATTAGATGTTAGATTTCTTTTCAGTATGGTGGAAATGAGATTCTAAATTTTTGGAGAAATTCATCATCTTGTACCATAATGAGGCCAATTTTTCGACTTGGTGAATTCTTTCCATGTTTTTTTTCATCTACGTTATTTTTAATTGGTTTTGGTAGCATTACAAATTTTAATTAAATCTTATACAAATTGTTTTTTTAACCGCGGCGAATCGTATTGTAGCCGTAACTTTTTTGTCTCCATTTTATTCTTTACTTATTTGATTTAAAAATCATAAGATATGTTTTATCTTGAATTTCTTACATTTTTTATTTTACATCAAAATTATTCATTTTTATTAGTTGTTTTTCAAACTATTTAATTCCAATTCATTCTAGTTTTATCTATTTCATTATTAAATTGTATTATAAACCTTAGACCTAAGATGGCTCGCATCAACCTTCTTCTGCGTCTCTTTTTGGAATCTAATTGAACTCTCTAATTACTAGTGAGCTATTGAATCTTTGGGTGAGAGTCCCTTCACCAACTGAAGTAGAGAGAAATGAGGGGAAGATATTTGATTTATTTTTGTATTCTTTACCTTATATTTCAACTAGCTGGGGAGGGAGGTGGAGGTTTCTATCCTTCTTTCTCCACCTGAAAGACAGGTAGAAAGAGTTAGGGATTACTTGGTTAAAAAAGAGAATTGGTTCTGCTTGACAAATTGGTGGTTGTTGGTTGGTTTGTCAGGTCATGCTACCCCAACCCGTTTTTGTACTTTTCTTGTTTTGGTATTCCTGATTAAACCAACCAGTCTGGACTCTTTAAAATATTTGTTTAAAGTAGAAAATTGTGTGTCAATGTTGTATGTTCTGTGGTTGTAATCTATGGTAATAAACTATCTAGATGTACAAATCAAGAAACTTGCTTGAAGTTTTTCATCAATTATAATTGAACCTGTAAATTGTTTATTTTCTTTTATTGGCCACACGTGTTGCTAACTTTATTCTGCTTTTGCAAGAGGTTTCCATCCTCTTGGGATTTCTTCAATGATACTGTATTTTCTTTTTATATTTTTTTATATATTATGATTTGACAGGTTTAAGTATGATAGGATTGGATGCTTATTTGCTTTCTTCTTTTAACTTTGATCCTAGCAACCTTTTAGTTTTGCATCAATGCTAAGGTGTCTCAAAATTTGGGGCATCTGATGTCCTTTTTTGAGATGTGGTTTTCTTGATGTCTTGTTATTTGCTATATTTTCTAGGATAAAGCAACCAAAGACACTCACTCATTTTATTCATCACTTTATCCAGGTTCGTACATGGCAGCGAGATGCTAGAGAAAGGACAATACTGCAAGCTACTCCTGCTGCCGCTATTGATGTTAGTTCAATGAGATCTTTCTAAAAATGATTTGTTTGTTTATATGGTTTACAGGATTTTTCTTATTGTCCTTTCTTCGCCTGCATTTTTATTGAACTGTGGTGGACTCAACTGTTAAGAAGTTGCACCTGTTGAAAATGCTTTGTTATATCCTATCCTTTTCTGAACGTTGATATTGCTGCAGATGTTACCAACTGTTGCTTATGCTGATAATCCATCCACAAGTTTTGCTGCTAAATTTGTCCACGCGTCTACCAACAAAAATAGATGTTCTATCAATAGAGTCTTGGTACGTTAATGCTACTTATTTCTCATTCCTAGTGCTATTGTCGCATAAGATGCCTATGGGCTGTGTATCTATTAAAATTTTGGTATTTTGCTAATATTTATTTTAATTTTTATCATTCTTTGGAGTCTAACTCCATTTTTTTTGAAGTAGTTAACAGCATTCTAGGGATATCTTATGTTGAGTTCTCTTTGTATTTCTGATGTAAATTTGTCTCAAGATGGCTTTCCCTGCATATTAAAAGGCACACACTTATGAATACAAGGTTTATATAATATTATTTTGAAGTTTTCCTGTTGAATAATTAGACAGAGAAGATGTTTTTCTTTTGTCTTGCACATTAAAGACACCTTTAACAATCTGCTTTTTGTCACCTTTGCTCTTTTGGTTATGCTTAATTTTAAGCACCAGTGTTCCAATATTTTATATTTGGTAGGGTCACATTTTATGGAATCAGTCTTTTGTTGGGTCACATTTTATGGGAATATTATCAGCAAAATTCATGTTGGATGGTTGAAGTGGAGGAATGCATCGGGCTTGTTGTGTGATAGAAAAATCCCCCTCAAACTTAAGGGAAAATTCTATAAGATGGTGGTGAGACCTGCAATGCTTTATGGTGCTGAATGTTGGCCATTAAAAGAGAAGCATAATACTAAGTTAGCTGTTGCAGAGATGAGGATGCTCAGGTGGATGAGTGACTTTACCCTTAGAGATAGGATACGAAATGAGCATATACGTGAAAATGTTGGAGTAGCTCCAGTGGAAGATAAGATTAGAGAGAGTCGCCTTAAATGGTTTGATCACATAAAACGGCGGCCTTTCGATGACCCGGTTAGGAAAGTAGAGTTATTAGATTTGATTTATTTAAAGAAAGATAGAGGTAGACCTAAAAAGTCTTGGTTAGAAAATATTAGAAATGATATTTATTTATTAGATTTAAATGAGAATTTGATTTTTAAAATGACACAATGGAGAAAAAAGATTCATTTAGCCGATCCCACGTAGTGGGACAAAGGCTTGATGTTGTTGTTGTTGTTGTTGTTGTCGTCGTCTTTTGCATGCTTCTGCTGAATAATTCCTTGCATTTGTCTTGATTTAGTAAACTTATGGTGATCATATTTACAAAGAGGGGATTTTAAATCTATTTTATTTTCTTTTCCTTCTTACCAGGATTCTGATTTATGTTCCTCGTTGTAAACTGGAGGTTTTTTTTGTAGTTCTTGTATAAAGATAAGACTTTTCATTCTTTTTGTTTTTGGTTGATCAGACGTTTGAACTTCATAATCATGCTAAAATAACAGTAAAAACTATTCATTCCCTTTAACATGATAGTTCACGTAATGAAATTATTGTGTATTCATGTTTATTCAATAGAATCTTTCTGTATCTTGGAGGTTTACTTTGCTTTATGCAAGTTCCATTTTTATATTATTTGCTTTGTTAAGTTTTTTGAACCTCGTATGCAGAGTGGCATCTCTTTTTTCAGTCATTGTTGTCCCAGGGATTCTTGTCTGATTCTGATGGCCTTGTTCTGTGTTTTAAATTGAACGCAGTGGACTCCTACAGGACGGCGTCTAATCACTGGGTCACAGAGTGGTGAATTTACACTTTGGAATGGGCAGTCTTTTAATTTTGAAATGATCCTTCAGGTGCAACATTGAAACTCACTTGACTACCGAGTGAATATATTGCAATTGATTCTTTTGTGGTCCTTTGATTTCTCAGGCTCATGATCAAGCAATTAGATCTATGGTGTGGAGCCACAATGAAAATTGGATGGTTACAGGCGATGATGGGGGTTCAATCAAGTACCTTTTTTTCATTACATTACGTATAATTGGAGTTTCTCATAGCTAGTGTTTTACATCATTCCTTTTGAAGAATTTTATTCATATGAATTTATCAGACTTTTTTTTGGTGTAATCCTACTCAGGTATTGGCAAAACAACATGAACAATGTGAAGCTAAACAAATTTGCACATAAAGAATCAGTTCGCGATTTAAGGTGCATATCTGTTACCTTTTTACTTGTATATGGGTTGTGTGGTACATAATACATATTATAGTTATTTGGTTTTTCAATCTACAGTTTTTCTAGAACTGATTTAAAGTTCTGCTCCTGCTCGGATGATACTACTGTGAAGGTTTGGGACTTTGCGAGGTGTCAGGAGGAGAGATCGCTAACTGGTAATTATTAAAGTTCACACTTGGTTGACACATTTGATTTTGGTATTGGCTTTCTTGAAACGGGTCAATTCAATGCTTCGTATTACCATGTCCAAAAATTAGTCATTTTCTTCATTAACCTCAATCTCATATGTTGCTGGCTTTTGTTGATTCTTTTGCTAAATATTTGGTTATGAGATGTGAATTCATTTATAGTTGTCCTTAACTCCTTTTATTAACTATATTAGTTTATTTGCAATTTACTTATGATCATTCGGTGCCCTCACATTTTTAAGTCTCAAGTTTGAACAATGTTGAGTTTGTTAGATGGTTATTGGAGGGTAAAATTAGAGAAATCCTGTACTCATATAAAAATCTACACAAAAACTCGTCACATTGTCACTTGATTAGATGAACAAATAAAATCAGACCCAAACAAATATGTATGACACTCTCCTCATTTTGATTGGGCCACACCTAAAACAGTGGATCCCAAATGATTTTTCTTTTGTGACATGGGGAGACTCTTGTAATAATCTACTTCATTATTGTAGTTTGTGCTATTTTAGAAAACTTGGAGGGGCTTAATATTTTTGAAAAAAAATAGTTATTTTTAATGTTGATAGAAAATCTAATCAATGTATGACTGGAACTTGGTCAAGTCAAGATGGCTTTATGGAGCTTTATGCCGCCATCTTCCAACCTGGTCAACCACAAATGTCTCTAAATGTGGGTGTCAATCATTAGGATAGTGAATCTTACTATCCCTTACCTACCACCAACAACAACATCAAACCTTATCCTACTACATGGGGTCAGCTACACGAAACCTTTTTCTCCATTGTGTCCTATGAAGAGTCAAATTCTCATTGAAATCTAATAAAGAAAGGTCATTTTTAATATTTTTAACCAATTCTTTTTAGGTCTACCTCTGCCTTTTTCAACATAAGCATACTATTGGATGGCCATTGTTTTATGAGACCAAATTATCTAAGATGACTCTCTCTAATCTTATCTTGCACTAGCGCTACTCGAACCTTTTCACATATATGCTCATTTCGTATCATGTCTTTAAGAATAAGTCACAATCATCCACCTTAGCATCCTGATCTCTGCAACACTTAACTTAATAGTATGCTTCTCTTTTAATGGCCAACATTATGCACTATAAAACATTGCTGGTCTCACCACCATTTTATAGAATTTTATCTTAAATTTGAGAGAGACTTTTCTATCACACAACAAGCCAGATGCATTCCTCCACTTCAACCATCCAACTTAAATTCTACTAATAATATCCCTATCTATTTCACCATTACTTTGAACAATAGACCCAAGATATCTAAAACGTATACTCTTATTAATGACTTGATCGCTCAAAGTCACAATCTCCCCACTAGATCTATTACTACTAAAATTACACTTACCAATGATTAAAAATATTTTTTAATAGAGTGATTTTCTTTTTTATGAAATTTGCTTTTATACATCATAATGTAGTAGCTTAATGGTAGATATAAGTTAATGGTACAATAATAACTCAAAATAACAAAAACGAGGCAATCTAATAGAGGGTTAATTATGAGAGGGAAGGTTCAAATTGGCAATAATAACATAAGGTTTTACAAATTAATCTTGTATATTAGGTTATTTTTAATATTTAATATATTAAAATTTAATGCAATTATTATAAGACTATTTGTTAAATTTAATGAAGAATAGTATTGTTCATGAAAAATAATTTTAATCTATGCGGTGATTATGTTAGAAGAAGAAAAGTTAAACTCTTTGACTTATTTAAACTTTTTGGCATATATTTTATCCTCTATTGCAGTTTAAGGTATGGGCAATTGAGATGCATGATAAAATTTAATTAGGAGTATCAATAAATGACCTGACTCGAATAATTTGGATTTGGGTTTGCCTGATTAATTTTGAGATTTTCCAGTGGTCTACAAACTCTGTAAAAACACTAAACTGTTCAAACAATATAGTATTTTAAGTGCCTTTTTTCATAACATGGTATACACATTTACATTAATCAAAATAGAATCCATTTTTTGGTCCTAGTTTGGTTGGGATATTTCTGAACAATCCTAAGCTTGGCATGGAGAGATATATGGGCCTCATGTGAGTCCTATTCATTCTCCTTGTGTAGGAAATCCTTGCTCAGAACTGCCTTACAAGGGTAAGGAAAAGGGGGATTTTTTTTCCTATCTCATTTGATTGATAGTTTGCCATGAAAGTTGCGCTTTAGCTAGCTAATATCATACTTGAGCATGAAACTAGATGTGGTAATACGTAGTGATCAAAGCAATAGTATGAACTGAAGTTAACCCACAAAAAGAAAAAAAGAAACCTGGAATGAGGTTTTTAGGATGGAAACCTAGAGATTTAACCCCAAAATGAAATTTCAACATCTTTTGCTGTTTCTAACAGATCTTCTCATAAATGGTATGTAATAATTTTATCTGGTTTTAATTTGTGGGTTTATTAATTTTATTCTTGCTGCTTCCTTTCTATATATGATGTTAAAAAGGATGCTAGAATTCTTTTATTTTTTAATTATTATTATTTTTTGTTAAACACCACTGTTGCCAAGTCCTAAGTCGTAGATGAGAAAAGTGGAGGGTTGCGTTAGATAGTCGACAACCATCGTAAAATTGTCGAATAATCATGACATGAATTCCCTGGAAGAGACGCGTTGTATAGCCTGAATACAATTACAAGTGAGCAAGGGCAGCTGCATTGACGCCCGAGTGCAGTGTTAAATAGGCAAGGGTTCTCATATTATGGACAGATGCGGGCAAAGAAGTTGGAATATAGGTTCTCTTGTAAGCAAATTAATTGAATTAATAGATATTATGATCCATAGGAAGATAAATATTCTTTGCATTCAGGAAAATAAATGGATTAGAGAGAAGACTAAGGTGATTGATAGTTTAGGATTTAAAATATGATATTTTGGTGGGATTCATATTAGAAATGATGTAGGTATGATTATAGATAAGAGTTTGAAGGATAATATTATAAAAATTAATATAATTAGAGATATAATTATAATTTTAAAGATTGTTGTTGATGCTAAGATTATTAATATTATAAGCGCTTATGCTTCTCAAGTATGTTTGGATGTGTTTAAAATTAAAATTTTAGAATGATCTAGTAGAATTAATATAAAAGATACATCTTGAAGAAAGAGTTTTTATTTAAGGAGATTCAAATAAACATATTGGTAGAGAGGTAGATGATTTTAGAAGCATTCATGGTAGCTATGACTTTGGAGCGGCTAATGAAGGTGGTAAGATCATATTATATTTTTAGTATATGATTTTTTAATTGTTAATACTTTATTTAAGAAAAGAGATGAGCATCTCATCATTTATAAGTATTTATATGGTAAAACTCAAGATGATTATTTTATTGTAAGAAAAATAAATAGTTTAGATTGCAAAGATTATAAAGTTATTTTGAGTGAAAGTTTATGTACCAAACATCACTTATTTGTTTTGAACTTTAAGACGAAAGGGCAAAAAAAAAAAGAAGTAAATCATTGTTTTAGGATTAGATGGGGGCATTTAAAAAATATTAATAAAAATATTTTTAAGAGTAAGATTCTGGATCTAAAAAATTTGTTTATATATGAGGATGCTAATGTTGTGTAGGAAAAAGTAGCTAGTGATATTAAGAATGTTGTAAAAGACGTGCTTGGAGCATCAAAGGGAAAAGCTAATAATAATAAAAATAGTTGGTGGTGGAATCAAAATGTGCAAGAAAAGATAAAAAATAAGAAGATTTGTTATAATAATTGGTTGAGTTGTAAAAACTATGATAATTGATAAATATATAAAGAAGCGCGTAAGGAGTCTAAGAAAATAATTTATAATGCAAAGAGTTTTACATTAAAAAGGGGCTAATAATGCTTATATTCAAGTCATTAAGGATATGTATGCAGGAGCTGTTACTTGTGTTCAAACACAACGTGGTTTGACTAAGTATTTTCCTATTTCAGTTGGATTACATCAAGGATCAGCCTTAAGCTTATATCATTTTTCTTTAGTCATGGATGTTCTCACTAGAAATTTGTAAGAAGTTGTACCGTGGTGTATGTTTTTTGCTGATGATATTCTCCTTATTGATAAGATTATAGAGGGAGTTGAAGGTAAACTTGAATTATGGCGGTCAATCTTAGAGTCTAAAGGCTTTCGTTTGAGTGAATCTAAAACTGAATATATGGAGTGTAATTTTAGTAATAATAGATCTAGTAGGGGATTATGACTTTTGGGCGATCAAGTCATTAATAAGAGCACTCATTTTAGATATCTTTGGTCTATTGTTCAGAGTGATGGTGAAATAGATGGGGATATTTTTTTAGTAGAATTCAAGTTGGATAGTTGAAGTGGAGGAATGCACCGGGCTTGTTCTGTGTTAGAAAGTCCCTCTCAAATTTAAGAGAAAGTTCTTTAAGATGTTAGTGAGACCTTCCATGCTTTATGGTGCAGAATGTTGGCCATTAAAAGAGAAGCATAATGTTAAGTTAAGTGTTGCAGAGATGAGGATGCTTAGGTGGATGATTGGCTTACTCTTAAAGATATGATACGAAATGAGCATATACGTGAAAAGGTTGGAGTACCTCTAGTGGAAGATAAAATTAGAGAGAGTCGCCTTAGATGGTTTGGTCACATAAAACGGCATCCTTCCGATGGCCTGGTTAGGAAGGTAGATGTATTAGATTTGACTTATGTTAAAAAAGGTAGAGGTAGACCTAAAAACACTTGATTAGAAAATATTAGAAATGACATTTCTTTATTAGATTTAGATGAGAATTTGACTCTTAACCGGACACAATGAAGAAAAATGTTTCATGTAGCCGACCCCACATAGTGGGATAAAGGCTTGTTCTTGTTGTTGTATTTTTTGTTGGGTACTTCAACCTTGTACCACTTGGCTCTATTTCTTATTATCCTGTTATGAATTCCTCAAAGCAAAGGGCTTCACACAACAACTGATCTAATATTTGTGTTAGGAAAGCTGAAATACCTTTCAAGTACCTTGTGAATGGCTGAATCTATGCTTATTGATTAATCACAAAGGGAGAACATGTGGTTTTCTTTAAACAAGTCTCATTTCTCGAAGTTCTTCTGTCATGTTTGGTAGACTTTTGTACTCTGTCTGTCATAGGTTTATGTTATCCCTTTTATTGATTTTACAATAATAGTTTGTGTATTTTGACGGCATCCATTTAATATTTCATGCTACTTGAAATTTTGTTTTGTCTGTTATTTATCTTGTAACTGCTTGATGGTTTTCCTCGAAGACTTTTTATCTGTCATCCTCTATTGTCTCTCTGCATTAGGAAGAGATTACTTCTTCATTGGATTGCAGTTTGGTTGAGATATCCTAAGGTTCCTTTGTTTCTGTGTTGAACTCAGACAGGCCATGGTTGGGATGTCAAGAGTGTTGACTGGCACCCAACGAAGTCATTACTTGTATCAGGTTGCGCATCATTTATGTTGTTATTTACTTTATTCTGGTTTTCCTGCGTCAGAGGCATTAATATTCTTTTTTTGCATGTTGCGTGTAAAATCTGATGAAACAGGTGGAAAAGATAATCTTGTAAAACTTTGGGATGCCAAAACAGGGAGAGAGCTTTGTTCATTGTTAGTGCACTTTCATCGCTGTTGGTGTACTTGTGTTAATTCAGTTCATTAACTCATTTCTATTTTGCAGTCATGGCCACAAAAACACAGTGTTGTGTGTCAAATGGAATCAAAATGGAAACTGGGTTCTTACTGCATCGAAGGATCAAATCATCAAGGTTTTTCCTCTAATTAACCTTTTTATTGGTTCTTTAGTAAAGTTGTTCAGTATATGACTTGTATTATACCGATTTGATAAATAAAGTTGAAGGATTTGCTTTTTTGTGCTCAGACAGTGGGGAGTGTAGCTTCTAGCTGTTTCTTTTTAGGGTTCCTTCCTATTTAGGATGCCTGCAAATTTGAAGTTAAAACTGTATGATTAGCTTGCCTTGTTACATTGTGTCACATTAAAAGGGAAATTGCATTAACTTATAATACCGATTTTGAGGACGGGCAAGGGAAGAATAAGATTTCCTTTGAATTGAATCTTTTACAGGGTTAGCCGTTTCTGAGCCTCTTTATTCACGGCATGAAGATTTGGATTGAAAGTTTTAAGAGTATACGAACATAATGGAAATTGCATAATGTTAAATAAGAGTGAATTACATAATTAGCTTGAATATATGAAAAGATCTGCCTGATGGCATTCTTAAATTCATTTTCAACCCAATTTCTTTTATTTACTGAGCTTAAAATTCTTTTAGTGAGTATTTATGCTTCCTACATTTCAGGTTTAGAATATCTTATCCCTAACAAAACAGCATTCTTAAAAACTTTTGAAAGAAGCTTCATGAATTTAACCATAGGTTACATTAAATCTTGACCATAAAATTAGGAATTCACCTAATCAAACGAAAGTTTTCCTATACATTTTTGAATTATATCTGATATTGCTATTTAGTTTGACTATTGGATTTTAAACATCCTGATTACTATTAAGGATACAGTTGTTTACAATTTATGTGATCTTTTTTTTCTACAATGCATCTGGTACTTAGAAGAAGACTATCATGTTTTTGGCACTTGGCTCTCTCTTTGCCTATTAGCGTTGTCAATCATCATCAAATGCTAATCCATGTTCAACCTTCCAATTATGTCTCTAAGCCAAGCCTCAGAAAAACAACAAGATTCACTTAAAAAAAATTGTACGAGGGAAGTGTAAGTGGGTAGTCAAGGCATCATTTGTAGGCTTCATAAAGCCTTTTTTTATCCATTTACTGTTGTTTCACCTTATTTATGCAAAACAAGATTTATGGATTTCTCGTCCTGTTAACTCTAATCCTTCTAACGCGGCAGCAGTGTGAAAAATTGGTGGACCAAATTTTCCTCCATGCATTTTATTTTCTTAATTGTTTATTACCTTATCAAGTATTTTAATCTTAAACTATGACAATGTCAGCCTTCTGCGGCTCTTATTCCAGTCAATTCCAGTTAGGAATATCTCATCTGTTTGTTTCAGTTTTTACTGATTTTTCATGGCCTTCTTACATAAATCAACTTGTTCTCAAACTAATTTATCAACTGAAGGCTTTATGGAGCATTTGATTCTTTATATGTTAGTTTTCTAGGTGTAATTTCATGCCAGAAGAAAGGGTAATAAAATAAGTTGGCCCCATTTTGCTCGCCCTGAAATGATAAATACGGGAAACGATACAGTTGCACTAGTAGACGCATGCATTCAACAAGTTGTGTAAGTTTTTGTTTCTGTGTAGTATTTAGAATATCTTATGGTTTTGCTTTTCATAAGCAACACGGATGGTTAGTTAATCGTTGACAGAAATATGCACGGTGAATAAAATTTGTTGAATACCATGTGATTTTTTTTTTTCTCAAATAATTATTATAAAGAAGACGGAACCTGTAGTTTCCAATAAAGCCATTTGTATTGTGGGCTCCGAAAATTCGGCCCCGGCCTCTGCTCGTTGTTTGCTTTTTCTTCGGCGAGGGAGTTTTAACAAATTAAATTCTGGAGTAAATTTTGGGAAGGCAGATGGGTTTGTAGATAGGACGCTACCCAGAGATTTCGCCCTAATTTTGCAAGGACTTTATGATCTGAGTTCTGGTTACCTATAGGTGCAAGCCCCTATAGTTAATTACCCCTCCCATTAATGAGAGAGAACTTTCAATTAAGGCTATTCATCGATCAAATACGTAGAGATACGTGTTATTTGACATATAGTAGCAGCATGAGTATTTAGAATGATTGGAGAATTGATATTTAAAATTGAAAATTTCACCTTCTTGCACTTAAAGCGGATGGTGGGGGAATGGATGATGGATCTGATTAAGATCTCATGGTTCCGTCGTCCCGGGCCATCATGGTCCCTAGTCTACTTAGTCAGAGGAGGTAGTCGACCCAACCTGATAGAAGGATCCTTACTGGCACCCATGAGTCAGAGGAGGTAGTCGACCCAACCTGATAGAAGGATCCTTACTGGCACCCATGAGTTGCTTCGTTCAATGAGACCTTGTAGACCTTGGTTGGATGTGTCTAAGGGGATAAATTTAAATCCACCTTAGCTAACAGAGGGCTTTGTTCCCTATCGATCATATCTTATTGATTCATATCTCAATGATTTGATGCCAATTAGGAATATATTGGCTCTAGCCATAAGCAATATTTTGTAGTGCCATTTGACGGCAAAACACTCGGTTTAGAGGGTCTCGGGTCATAACTGTTTATCTTGCGGTGTCATTTTGTGGCAAAACCGTCGGTTAGAGGATACGTACCACATTCTTACTGGTAAAAGATTGTTTGAGAATGGATCATAGTGATATTTTTGACTAGGCATTAACTTTATGTGAGCTAAAGTAAATTTTAATTTGTCTACCTCGACAAACTGTTGTGGAGGGTGGATGGATTTTGCTTTAAGTGTTTTGATGGTTGATTTTCAAATTTAAATATTTTGGATTTTGGGTTTTTTGGATTTTTGACTTTGTGGAGTTTTGAATTTTGATGAGTATTTGGGTGGCATTTTGGAGATATATTTATGAACCCCTCCGATTGAGATAAACATTCAACACGACCATCATCGGGGTGTTTGTGGTCATTTTCATTTATAGCTTGAACCTTATCGACCCTATCAACTTTCCGATAGGGGATCGGGTTTCGTAGGCTTTATGCCTTTGTTAGTGAATTCTCATTGTTTAAGGCCTAATATAAATGTATTAAAACAAGTATTTCGGTCGTCGTAACCGTATATTTGTTTGATGGTTCGAACCCTATCGACTCCTATTGATCTGCATAGAAGGATCGAGTTCGAACTTGAATTTACTTATTGACCTACGCAGCATCCCTAGATGTCACGTGTATACTTATAACATGCTCGCCGGAGCCCATGCCTATGTGCATACATATTGCAATGCATGTGCGGGGGTGTTTTGCAATATTTATAAATGCCTTCTGTCCGCTCTTATGAATGCTGCGGATCCGGTGGCATTGCATTGTAACTTGTAGACGCCTTCTGTCTGCTTATATGAATGTTACTGACCCGGTGGCTTAGCATTATACTTTAATCATTTGCCCATTGCATATAAGTAGACTATCGTGCACTACTTGCATGATTTATGCATGTAGATTATAATGCACTAACGAATCTCCTGCTTTTTGGTTATCGGTGAATCGTAGCGTTATCGCTTGAATTTCACGAGATATTTCATTGTTCTGATACAGACTCCCTTTTCTCGTTCACCGGGAGATCCCTCTAGAATTTGAAATCAATGACTGTTGCTTTAAAAAGATCTTTTAAGATCTTCAATGTAGTAGACTTGTTATTTCTGGTGTTTGTGGATGCCAAAACTGTTTTCTTCCTAATTACAAGACCAAGAAGAAATTTTGAAACACTAGGAAGTTTAGTTCGAATTTGCTCAAACATCTCTTACATTCTACTAGGTGGTGTCATTTTTCGTACATCGAGTTGTCTGCATACCCGACGTACTTTGCAGCATCTCAATCACCGTTGTTATAGGTGATATCTATATTTGTGTCCATAGTGGTTTGTTGTACTTACGATATACCCACTGTTGTTATCCACAAGTGAATCGTGTTTATTTATAGGGACCCGTTGTATTCACTACGACCTCCTGGGAGTATTCGTAGAAAAGGCATCATTTCTGCATCATATTCACCTTTCACCAATCTCAGGTGGTATGACAATTGTACTTGTTTGTAGAGGCGGATCTTCTACCATCAATTGACAATGTTGCCATCACAATCTACAGGCACTGTTGCTTGTGTTGGAGATCTCAATAGCGCATATAGGACACACATATGCATTCTGCAACCATTCGTTGTTCTTGCAGGTACGATGCATCCGATCTCGTAGAGACTGTTGTAAGAGTCAACTACATTTTTTGTTTGTACACATTGAGGTCTTGTAGTGTGCCTGCTTGTAACTCGATGTTGGTTACGAGGATGTTGCAATATCCTTCCTACAAGAGCTCACGGTCGTTTGTATTTGTTGCATCTTAGTCGCTTTTGTTTGCAAGGATTAATGTATTTCATCTGACATTGAGTCACTATTGACCGTACGAATGTTCTTGTAGTTTGAGTTCCCTCGTGTATGATTCAAGCTTTGTTCTTTGCATATGTTTGAGTCCAAGTTCAGATTCATTTAGACTTAAGTTCATCGAGTTTACAAGTCCCACTTAATGTTATATAGTCTGTGTTCAAGTGCATATCCACAGTATAAGTTCTTGAAAGTTTAGGCTCTTGTTCAAGTCCCCTGTGGTCCAACTCAAGTCTTCGCTTGAGTTCAAATTATGTTCACTTTATATCAATGTTTAAAATTGAGTATTCGGGTATTGAGGCGTTTTTCATTCGTGAGGCGAGGCGTAAGCCTCAAGGCGTTTTGAGGCGTAAGCCTCAAAATCAAAAGATTGCGTAAACATAAAAAAGATAATTTTTTTATATACTAATGAGTGAATAATATAAAACATAAAAAAGCATAAGATATGAAGTGAAATCAAAATATCTCAATAATAAGACAACATGATATAATTAGTAAATTAATTATAATTATAATTAATTAATGTCTAATTATAATTAATCAAAATTAATTATAATTAACCAAATAATTATAATTACTAATTAATAACTAATTATTATTTAATTACAATTATAATTAAACTAATTATCAATTAATTATAATTAATCAATTAATTATAATTATAATTAAAT